TCTCCTCACCCAGCAGGTTTGAACAATTTATGAAGGGTCACACTGCAAGTTTTGTTCCACATCCCTCAAACTGCAGCTTTGCCAGCTGCCCAGGTTACCAGTTATTCCTGAATCATAGAATAGTTAGGGTTGGAAAGGAACTTAAGATCATCTAGTTCTAACCCTCCTGCCATGGGCAGGGACACCTCACACTAAACCATGCCACCCAAGGCTCTGTCCAGCCTGGCCTTGAACACCGAAAGAGATGGAGCATTCACAGCTTCCTTGGGCAACCCATTCCAGCACCTCACCACCCTCACAGTAAAGAACTTCCTCCTTACATCCAATCTAAACTTCTCCTGTTTATGTTTGAACCCATTGCCCCTTGTCCTGTCACTGCAGTCCCTAATGAATAGTCCCTCCCCAGCATCCTTGCAGGCCCCTTTCAGATACTGGAAGGCTGCTATGAGGTCTCCACACAGCCCTCTCTTCTCCAGGCTGAAATATGGTTAACAGACCCGTCTGATGAGGGAGCACTGGCAAGCAGTCAGGTGCATGTCCACTGAAGAGTAGGGAGTGATGGCTTCAGCAGCCAGTGCAATGGGATATGGGAGGGATGCCTGTTGGTACCCTTAGGATTGACCATGCCAGGCATTGCTGTGCCCAGCTCCTCACCATCATTCTGGGAGCACAACTCACAAATCTGAGCTCAGTGACTAAGCTGTGCATAAAATCAAAGGGGATGGTCAGGTACTAAAATCCAAAATTCACAGCAGAGCATGACAGGCAGGAGCACGCCTCCACCAGTACACAGGAGAAGTTAGAGAGAGTGCCTGTCAGAGAGAGAGACAGAATTGGTCACCTACTTGTAGTCCTGAGTGTGCCCACATGCATGCCTTAGATTCACTCTGAGCCTCCATGCTGGAGCTAGACCAACTCTGTGAGGGCAGGCAGCCTGCTCATTTCATTCCTTTGAAACAGGGCAATGCTACTGCTACCTCTGTGTTCTGGGTCCCAGCTGAGCAGTCAGAGCTTGAGGAAAAGAGCAGTTCAGTGCCCTCCTTGGACCAAAGGACTTTAAATCCACACCTCTCACCAGAGTTCCTGAGTCACTGCGACCTACTGGGCATCCTCCGCTTTCACCATAGACTCTAGACCTCAGCTTCAGGAGAGGCAGAACCATGGGCAGAGGAAGTGGGAGCAGCTTGTGTCACCCAAATGTTAGAGCTGTCCACATGGAGGAGATCTCTGTGTCCTTTTCCTTGGTTTCAGGATTATGTCTTCTTTTACCCAGTTACTGTTTGGTGTGAATAGAATAGTAAGTCCAAGATAAGTAACAGTAAATCAAATAAATAGTAAGTCAAAGGATGGAGACTGGAACCAAACCCTGCTGTCAGCTCTTGATGCTGTGAATTGAGTACATTTTCCACTAGGAGACTTTACCCTTGAAATGGATAATTTTTAAGGGTGTTACCTGAAGAAAGGCCTGAAATGCTGAAGAGAGACTTCATCACTCCTTTGCGGCTTCTTACTTTTTTCAGCGCATGTGAGCAGTGTGGTTTTCTTTCCTAGATTGCTTGTGCTGTACAAAAACAACCTTGCGGGAGCAACCTCATATTAAGTAGAAAAGGAAGCCACATTAGTGTTTCCTGGAAATACACTGCTTATACTGTTAAAGGTTGGAACAAGAGATGTAGCTGTGAGTTAAAGGTTTCAAGAGAAATGAAACCAAATCTCTTTAAAATACAGTCCCTTTCAATAGTGGGCATTGCAACTGAATTCTTTCTACTTTTCCAACTGCTTCTAATGGCTTTGTTAGATTTTTTTACACAGTTAGGCCCTGTCTTTTCCCCTGGGGTCTCTAAATTAACCTATCTACAGAGAAAGTGTGACCCTTACTCCTCTAGTTGCTGCCTCCAAGTGATGAACATGTATGCATAGAGTGGGCTTTGCTGTGGAACAGGATACTTTTCAAGGCGAGGAAGCTCAGCAAACGTAAGTGCTTTACATTTGAGAACAAGTATCTGTCAGCAGTGTTTTATTTACAGCTCTATTTCACTGGATGACAATATGCAAAGCTTAGCGTCAAAACTGGTGTATAGAAAGACGTCATGTTATGGAGTCAGAAGATAAGTAAGCTCTGCGGTTTATAAGCTTTGGCAGCTATGAAACAGTGGTGAAGTTACAAATAGGAAAGACTTACATGGAAAGACTGATAAGCTGTATGCATCCTGAGTTTTGGAAATCAGTTATGCTGCTCAGTTGTCGATGTCCTGTCACAGGTATTACTTGAATTATTTTTTTCTCTCCATACATTAGTCTTACTATTTAGATAGCAAATGGACAATAAAACGCACACAGGAAAGTTGGAGCTTTCTTCTTAGAGAAGATTAAATGCTAAACTTTAGTGTTGAGGCCAGAAGACCTTGTCTGTAAGAGCTATGAGTAGCGAACTGGGATGCCATACTTCAGGCATGCGTGGGGTTATTGTGTGACTCTGCGTAAGCAATGTATTTACTGCCTGTGTATACATACATACATAGATATATATCCATGGTGTGGTATTTCTGTGCTTGCATATTGCCCTGGTAGGCCTAATATACTGACTTTTTTCTGCCTGTAACAGCTGTGAATGCAGTGTGTGGTCTGGTCACCATACTGTGTCATTACCCTTGTGCTATGGCTGAAGCCATGCAGACACTGCAGTTAAAGGTGGGGCTTCTCTGCACCTAGAATGTAGGCGTGATGGCTGTGCTGCCCAAGTGCAGTAAACACACATCAGTGCCAGGTGTCCTTGCACAGGCAGCTCCTTCTCCCTCCCTCAATCCCACCTTGAAATTGTGGCATCACATGCAGGATGGGAAATCTTGAGTCATCAGCAGGAGGAGGTTCCCCATCTGACTCCCATGCTGCAGCAGGACAGCATCAGCACCCTGAGCTGCGCTGCCTGACCCCTGGCTCAGGTGAGCACACATCTGCCAGAGCCTCGCTGCCCTCCCTGCCTCTGCCTGGGTTGTGCCTGCCCGTGCTGCCTGCAGCCCTTGTCACGGGGTGGCTGTTGTGGTTTAAACAAAGTCAGCCATAAATCACGCAGTCGCTCTCTCACTCCCCCCACCTTTTTGCCGTCCCCCTGCTCCCGGAGGGGTGGGAAGGAGAATCAAAAGAATGCAACTCCCACAGGTTGAGATAAGAACAATTTAGTAACTAAGGTATAACACAAACCACTGCTGCTACCACCAATAACAATAATGATAAAGGAAATAACAAGGGAAGAGAATACAGCACCTAACCACCTGCCGACCGATAACTCGCCCCCCCAGCCCAACCAAGCACCGCCCGATACCTAGTCCTACCCCGCAGTCCTAGTCCTTCCAGGTAACTCTCAGTTATACCCTCGGCATGATGTGCTGTGTATGGAATACCTCTTTTGCTAGTTTGGATCAGGTGTCCTGTCTCTGATTCCTCCCAGCTTCCCCTCCTCCCTGGCAGAGAATGAGGCTCAGAAAGTCCTTGGCCAGACCAAACATTTGAGCAGTAACTAAAAACATGGGTGCTATCAGCACCGTTCCAAGGCCAAAAGTCAAAACCACAGCACTGCACCAGCTACCAAGAAGGAGAAAAAATGACTGCTGCTGCTGAACCCAGGACAGTGGCACAGCTCCCTTCTCCAGGTCCCTGGAATGGCCTTCCCTTTTGAAGAGCTAAGCTTTCCATTTGTGCACTTTGAAATTGAGCTAAGGAATGTTCTGGGCTGGGCTGAACCACAGGCACAGAGAAATGGGGCTGGTCTCAGGCCTGGTGAGATTGGGAAAATGCTGAGTTAAATCCGAACATGTCTGACCCTATGACCAGTTGCTAAGAGTTACCAGATAGTAAGGATGGTTGCTGGATGACTCATCCTCTTTAAGGCTGTGAAGATGGTGCACTTGGAGGTTTATCTGTCTTGGACGGGATGATGATATCTGCAGCTGTATCTCTCCCTCATGGAAAAAAAGAGCAAACCTGGGATTTGTGGTAAATCTGCAGCACTGGCCAGGGATGTAGATGCATGGGACAGCACCCAGAAATCCAGGTCAGTGATGCTCCCCCTGACCGGCTGTGTGAAGGAGGTTTCCATCCCCACAAATAAAATCACCATCCGTTATTGTGGCCCTGCAGCAGGAGCCTTGGATATGCTTTGAGGCATATGTCATTTGAGCGATGCCATTTGAGTGACAGACTGAAAAAACTCCTAACCTTAGGGTGGGTTTTTTCCAGGGGAGAGGACTTTCGTAGTACATCTATTTAGTACTGACCTTAGCAAAATGAGAGCATTTTTTCTTGTATATGCCAGAGCTTGGGAAATAAAATCTGTGATCCATAGGAAGTCAGTAATCAGATAGATGCCTTAGCACCCAGGAAGCACTTGAGAGCCACACATGATTACTGGATTATTTCAAGACTGTTGGTACTACATTACCATGCTTCTGTGACACATGAATACCTGTGCAGGTGCGTGTATACTTATACACATACCCTATTAGTCTCTATACATATATACATCTATAAATGTGTGTGTACATCGTCTCAGAAACAGAACAGAAGCAGCTTTCCTCCCAACAAGTAGTATTTGCATATGAATTAAAGCAAGAGAAATCTCCAGTTAGAACTGTGTGCTCCTAATGACTGTGCTCCCAAAGGAGACACGTGAGTGGTCTCATTCAGCTGTTGATGGCTGTGAGAAAGCGAACAGGTTGTCACAACCAATGTTCCTAGCCAAAGTCCTAAAATGGCTTCTGTAGCATGAAGGGCACATGTCCAAAAGTTTTGTCAGCTCTTGTGGAAGTGACAGTTCTGAGGAAATGATGAAAATCTGGAACAAGTCCAGCGCTTGCCCTCAGGGACGTTTGAAAATCCATGTGACTTCTGAAATTCACCTGGGACGGACAAAGGAAGGATGCTTGTGCTTCACTGTTGCTTTGAAAACAGTCTTTTGAGTTATAATTTCCATCATGTTTTCACTCTTCCCCTTTCCTTTCCAGGCAGTGAAGCTGATTTTAGCTCTTCAGGCAGCACGGGCAGTATTTCAGGACCTGAAGTCCATCTGTCTGCTGCTGGAAGCAAGAAATCTTTCTCTCGCAAGTAAGTAAAGCGATTTTTCCTGAACATTGCAAGTACTGCTTGTGCAAAGATAGACTGCTCTGTAAGGTCGTGCAGTTAATGCATACAATACCTGTGTTGTGAGATTTAAAACAATTTGGGTAACACTGTGTTCCCCGCCAGCGCCCACACTCGTGAGAACTGTGATATGAGAAAGAAAAAATGATGCTGTATTTGGAACATACAAATTGCCAGCATGTCAGATCAGCCAAATGGTATTGATGTATGTTGCTTATTCATGACAGGTGTGGAGAGATAATCAGGTAAAGCAGAAAAGGCATTGGCTGGAGTGGAGGCGGAAAGAACTGGGTGTGTGTTGGTTAACAGCGGTACTTCCAGCCAGTTAACATTTTGGTTTTATTACTTTACTTCCTCTTTGTAATAAATTGTCAGCTCGACTTCTGCCTTTCCAGATCATGATCTTACTTCTGTAGGAAATAGGTAGACAATATTGCCTTTGGTGCTTTTTTTCTCAAACACCCTGGCCTAATCTTTACATAACTCAAACGAAATGCAAGCTTTAAAAAATATCATGCTCATCTGTCTGACCAAACCTTTCATAAAGATTTCTGTGGGGTTTCTTCCCTTCATGTGTGGAGTGCAAATACAGACAGCTTGTGAATGGGGGGCAGTGGGATTGGGGTGTGCACAGTGCGCTCTGCTGACACGATCCCTGTTGGATACAGGTTTTGGAGTAGGTGGAAAGAATTCAGGTTGGCAGGACTGGTTTCCTGCCCTCCATGGCAGAGCTGGCAGGCAGGGACTGGCAGCAGGGTACTCGTATGCTTGAGTTACACAGACGACTCGAGGATCGCAGTGTGCCCCAGTGTACAGGCATCAGCAAAATGATGCTTTATGAGCAGTTTCTTATCTGTGTTGCGAGACTGTTAGAAAAATAAACTTAAGCTCTTGCTAGATTAAATCTAGCAAGTAAAGTTACTGGCTGTGGAAAGAAACAGTACTATGCATAATACAAAGCCCTAAAATCACCTTGTTTTCAGTAAGGTTATGTAAAATTTCATATATTATTGTGCATCTAAATATAACTTTAAATTAAAGCATATTGACCTACTGAATTGGGCAGAAGTCGTCTGTCATAAGACTCCTTCAAATGCATTGCTTTGTTATGCACAGTCCATACAAGTTCTGCCTCCTGCCAGAGTTGATGCTGTACTGCACAAAGTGGGAGGAGTTGTCTCCTTTGCAATAGGTTCTTTTTTAACTATTTGCCTCAACCCACTACGAAACATTCCACTGTTTCACAGACCACTGCCCTGTGCTTCATTGTAAAGTAACCGTAAAATCACCCAAACCACAGCAGTGTCATGAAGGTTTGCAGCAGCCACTCGACCATCTGTTCCTTATAAGCTATTCCACTTTCAGAGAAGGGAGGGAACCAAATCGAACAATTTAAAAAAAGAGACTTTGCTTCATAATTTTGTGATATTTAAATTTTTATGTCCCAGCTTTCTCTTTTGCTGTCTGGATTTATCTTTTTCCAATCTTGTTTTAATCCTGCCCTTTCATTAAATTTAGAACAACTTCCATGGGAGGAAGAAGGCAGCAGCATAATAATGCAGGAAGGCAAACCAAGTAGGCTGTCCTCAGGGTTCCCCAGCCTTTTGGCAGCTGTTGGGCAGTGCAGATACCAATTGCTTTCAAGCACACACAGTTGAAAGTCAGAGTTTTAATAAAGAGTGGGAAAAGAAAGATAGGTGTGTCTGAGGGAAACTGGAAGGAGGAAGGGAGGGAGAGAAGGGAAGGAAGGCTGTGCTTTCCTTTGTCTATTTTAATACTATTCCAGCCTATTCCCAGTAGGGTTCAACTATATCTAAGCAAATGAATAGCTGACAATGGCAGCTGAAACACCCAGGATGCCAAAGGCAGAAAAGAACAGTGGCTCAACAAAAATCTGTTTTCACTGCACGCTGTGATGCCTCAGGCTGCTTGCTGAGGAGCATGAAAGCAGCCTTACAGCAAACCTCCACAGACAGGCATCTCTCTGCAGGCCTGGCCAGGGAAAGCTGCAGCGTGGTTCTTGTGGTACTAATCCAGGCTGCAGGCCTCTCATTACTTAATGGAGCCAGAAGTTCAGGGAACGTGGATGATGGAGTCACTGGGTACTGTGCTATCCACAGACAAATGTGAAGGTGGCCGAGGTTTCCCTAGATCACGTGGTTCAGACTGAGAGCCTTGCAGTCACTGAAAGGACATGCAGTGGCTGATGGCTTCAGGACCTTCTTCTCAGCCAGTCACAGCTCAGGTCTGGCTGGGTATCAGTCAGCGGGTGCTGAGCAACTGTATTGAGCGTCACTTGCGTTTATTGGTTTTTATTCAGCTGTCTCTTTTTGTCTCCCTTTTCATTACACTTGGTGTTGTGTTTATTATTCTATTTTACTTCATTTTATTTCAGTTATTATACTGTTCCTATCTCAACCCATGGGTTTTACGTTTTTGTCTGGTTCTCCTCCCCATCCCTCCAGGGGCGAGGGCAGGGGGTGGCTTTGTGAAAACTGGTTTCTGGCTGGGGTTAAACCACGATAATCCTCTAACTATTTGGTTCCCCTCCAGTCGTGGCCCTTATGGTCGGAATAATGGATCCTTATCCTACAAGCCTGGAGCCAGCCCACTTGCTTCCCGTGAAAAGGACCCTTTGCCAACACTGTGCAAAAACCAGCTGAGTCCTCCTAATATCCATCAGAGTTACAGGGCTTCTTCAGTCAGCAGCAGCAACTCAGGCTCACACAAAGGAAGCAACAGCAGCCCAGTGATGAGGCAAGTGTTTATTTCAGCATCCCGGTGTTCAGCGCATGACTTATCTTCTCTGCACTGTAACATGGGATCAGCTGTGCCAGTTGCAGAGCAGGTCACCTTGCTCCTCAGCATAAGTGTGACTTCTCCTGATGGTGGCTTGACTGTGAGCAGGGTGCTCCATCCCTTGTAAAAGCTTTATCGTTTCAGCACTGTAAAACTCAAGGTTACTTTTAATCAAAGCCCTTTGGAGTTTGTTTTCACTCCAAGGCAGGCTACTTCATGGGGTTTCATGCCTTCAGTTCTCATGGTTCTTTTCTTGAAGGGTCCTTTCACTTTGGAGACAACTGGATGGGGTAGTATAGAAAATATTATGCACTTGAGGGAAAATTCACCCTGCCCAGCCTTGAGCACCCTCCTGAGGAGTGCAGTTTCCTGTACAGGAAGGAAAACAGATGTCTGCCAGAGAATGCAGCATGTAGTGCAGAGAAGAAATTGCCACCACACTGCTGCTATTTCCCTCCCTCTCCCTCTCTCAGGCAGTTCAACAGCCTACCATGTCAGACACACACCTAAAGCTAAATAGGATGAATCGAGGTTTCAGCATGCTGGGCTTCATAACTCCCATGTGGAGATGAACTCAGCAGCCTTGCCTGTCCGTGTTCACAGCTGGGGACCCTTGCCAGTCCCAGCTGCCTGCTGCTGGGCACACCATCCATTCTGTGTGAGAGCATAGCTGGGTGGTTTAGCCTTAAATGTCTCATTTGATGTCATGGCACTGAAAGCAAGTACGATAAATAGCAGATTTTGCACATAGCCACAAATCAGCTGTTCCCTCAAGCACTCTGATGTGCCAGAGGGAGTCACTTGTGTGGACATGGAGGAGCCCCAAGGGAGTCAAATGTATCAGTCAACAGGATGCTTTTCTTTTGGCTGGGATGGAAGAACTGTAGGAATGATGTTATGTGACGGTTTGTGTGTTTTCTTCGCAGGCGATCGGGAAGGTACAATAATTCTTGTGACAATCACAATATTAAGCCACAAAGTCCAGAGCAGTATTTGACACCTCTGCAGCAGAAAGAAGTCACAGTACGGCATTTGAAAACCAAGCTGAAGGAATCTGAGAGCAAACTCAAAGAAAGGTAAATTTTGCTTCAGAAATCAGAGCAAGAAAGATTTATTCAGGAACATTCAGGGGTGGGAATCCCAAACGCTTTTACTCATTTCTTGACCACATAAAGTTTGCATTAAGAAATCTGAAATCTTTTCAGTCTGATGAGGTTGTTTTCAGGTATTTCAGGTCTCACAGTGTTCTCAGGGAATACATACCATGCACTTTAATATGATTATAGCTGCCTCTTTCCCCTTTTTTGAACTTTCATTGTAGAATATTTTTTAAAGGACTATATTTTACCAGTCTGGTTTAGCATTGAGAGGCCTTTATAAATAAGGCAGTTTTTCCCTGCCAGCATGGGACCTTAGTCTCTTGTTCTGCCTCTCAGTGAAATATGACTACAAATGTCGCCTTGCTCCCCTAATGAAAGAAAAGCTCTTACACATACCAGTGTGCCCACTTGTCGTTACTGGCTGTGTGGTGAGGTTGGTGACTCTGGCTGGCAGCTGTATGCATGTCTGCCAGCTCTCTCAGGGATGGCAGAAAATGGGGCATGGAGGAGTTTGCTTCCTTGTTGGAGCATCTCTGCAGCACAACAATTCCAGCATGAGGAGCCCCATGTTGATTTGTTAACTGGCCAGTCAGCAGTAGTGTCACAACACTTTTATTCTGCTACAGGGAAAAAGAAATAGAAGAGCTCAAAGCTCAGCTGGGACGGATGAGGGAAGACTGGATTGAAGAAGAGTGTAATCGTGTGGAGGCAGAGCTGGCCTTAAAGGAAGCAAAAAGTGAAATTAAACAACTTAAGGTTGTTATCGAAACCATGAAAAACAGCATGGCTGAGAAAGACAAAAAAATGCAGAAATATTTCCTAGACATAAACATTCAAAACAAGAAACTGGAATCTTTGCTGCAGAGCATGGAGGTGGCTCAGCACAGCTTTGTGCAGGATGAGCAGCACCTGGAGTACATGTGTGACTTGGAAGGGAAGCTGTTAGCCGTGATACCAGACAGCCTCATCACTGGGGAGCAAGCTCTGGAGGAGGTGGCAGATAGTGGACTGCTTCTTAATGAGGGCACAGCTAATGAGACTGATTCATGTGAAGAGAGTTTAACCACCAGCACCTCCGCACCGAGTGATCCAATTCCCTCCAATCCTGCTGTGAATAAAGAGATGCTTGAAAATGCTCTGGATGAAAAACCAGCTTCCCCCCAGGAGGAGGAGAAAAGCATCAACGTGATGGTGGAAAAGGCCATCCAGACTGATGTGGTACCATATAGCCTGGATGTGGAGCAGTTCTTCCAAAGCATCTTCAGTGCTCAAGATAACTATCCTCTAAGCCCACCTTCGTCACTGAAGGAGCTGGATGAGTTTTCTCTTGGAAGCTTCACCGATTCTGCTATTGCAGTGGACTTAACTCCGAGTGATCCAAACTCTGTCATCCTTTTGTCTCCCATGGAGTCTCCGTGCCGATTGGTGCAGCGCGGAGTTAATGAAAACCGTTTCATGAAAGAACTTGATTTCATCGACCCTCCTGATGATGAAGGCTTTAAGTATGCCCATACTTCCTCTCAGATAGACATCAAGAGGAGCTACTGGAGCAGCAGTCCCCTCACAGATGTTCTGGCTCTAGCAGTCCCTGTTATACCAACTGTCCTGTGGGCTTTCAGTACCCACAGAGGAGGCACAGAACCCATTTACAATATTAGCACATTGCTTCGTGGCTGCTGCCTGGTGGCCCTGTTCTCTTTACGCCGTACACCCTTCCGTACCAAAATTTAATGTCTGCTCTGTCCTGGTGTGGTTACCCGAGACAGAGGTGAATAGGGATAAAATAGGTCCTTAAAGTATCGTAGATTCTTTAAGAGTTCATAATTTTGCTTTTCACTATTTGATTTGCACTACAAATTGTTTCAGAAACATGTTCCTTGTTCAAAAATATAAAATAGCTGAATCCTGTACTTCCACAAGGTATCTTTTAACTGGTGTTTTAAACAGCACTGCTGCCTACACAGATGGTCCTCTTGCTCCCAGGCACTGTGTCCTTCCCCTGTGCTGGTGTCTTTATGGTGCCAGAGCATCTGCACAGTAAACATGACCAGGGAAATCAAGAAGACTTACAGCTCATGTCTGTGTTTTCTGCTGAGCTAGTCTTGAGCTCGGTCACTTCCCTCAGTGGTTCACTGAGCAGACTCACTGGCTCAAGGGCAGCACAAAACACACACAGGGAAGGGAACAGTATTTCTTACGGCAGCACTCACCTCAAATGGTTGTGAAACTACAGTGTTACGTAAGTTACATAGAGACTGAAGCCCAACAAGGGTATCATCCATGTGCTCCAGAAAGCATGCTAGCGCTTTCCATGTGTTGTCCAGAGTGTCAAATCAGTTTAGAGGTTAACACACACATTTCGCAGGCAGCTTCCACCCAGCACATCCTTTGTCCCTGTCTTGTGTAGTGCTCTTCTCAATGGTGCAATTGCTCGAGCATTTCATTGGTCTTGTGCCTATACTTGGACTGTAACCAAAAATGTGCATTGTTGGGAGTCTTGAAACTTGTTATAAGTTTAGAATCATAGGATCATAGAACAGTTAGGGTTGGAAAGGAACTTAAGATCATTTAGTTACAACCCCCCTGCAATGGGCAGGGACACCTCACACTAAACCATGCCACCCAAGGCTCTGTCCAACCTGGCCTTGAGCACCGTCAGGGATGGAGCATTCACAGCTTCCTTGGGCAACCCATTCCAGTGCCTCACCACCCTTACAGTAAAGAACTTTTTCCTTATATCCAATCTGATCTTGCCCTGTTTAAGTTTTAACCCATTACCCCTTGTCCTATCACTGCAGTCCCTAATGCAGAGTCCCTCCCCAGCATCATTATAGGCCCCCTTCAGATACTGGAAGGCTACTATGAGGTCTCCACGCAGCCTTCTCCAAGTTGAACAGCCCAACTTTCTCAGCCTGTCTTAATACGGGAGGTGCTCCGGTCCCCTGATCATCCTCATGGCCTTCCTCTGGACTTGTTCCAACAGTTCCATGTCCTTTTTATGTTGAGGACACCAGAACTGCACACAATACTCCAAGTGAGGTCTCATGAGAGCAGAGTAAAGGGGCAGGATCACGTCCTTTGACCTGCTGGTCACGCTCCTTTTGATGCAGCCCAGGATGCAGTTGGCTTTCTGGACTGCAAGCGCACACTGCCGGCTCATGTTCATTTTCTCATCAACCAACACCCCCTAGTCTTTCTCCACAGGGCTGCTCTGAATCTCTTCTCTGCCCAGCCTGTAGCTGTGCGTGGGATTGCTCCGACCCAGGTGGAGGAGCTTGCACTTGTCATGGTTAAACTTCATGAAGTTGGCATCAGCCCACCTCACAAGCATGTCAAAGTCCCTCTGGATGACATTCCTTCCCTCCAGCGTATCAACCGAACCACACAGCTTGGTGTCATTGGCAAACTCACTGAGGGCGCACTCAATCCCCCTGTCCATGTCACCGACAAAGATGTTGAGCAACACCAGTTCCAACACCGATCCCTGAGGGTCACCACTCATTACTGGTCTCCAGCTGGACATCGATAGGTACACTTTGAATCTTAATTTTGGTTTAAGTCTTAGTGCATTGGAACAGTCTTCCAAGCCCTTTAAAATACTAAGGATAAATGTATTGTGGTTTAACTTATTGTTTATTTATTTGTTTTTGTGTAAGTTACCTTTATTATCACAAGTTCAGTAAAGCATGTTGGAAATGTCAAATGCGTGAGTGTTTTATTGTGGAAAACCTATAAAAAACACCCCATTTCAGCTGAGTTCTCTGGCACAGTCCAAGCAGGAGGAGGCACAGTGATAGGGCATAAGGTTGGTTGTGAGATCAAGAGCAACAACTCTGAGAGCCAATAAATCAGCATTGTGACAAGTGACTATTAATCCAAAATAATGAACGCTTAATTGCAGCACATGTTTCACAGTTGTGAATAACCTGGGCGATAGTGTCCGTTGTTAAGTCCACCCCTCGGTCACGAGCCCATCTGTATGTTACATCTCTGCCCTGATGGCCTGAAGTGTCATGGGCCCACCAGGCCAAAAATAATTCACCCTTATGCTGCCAATCCGAGCCAATTCAATCTTAGCAGCTTTACCCACTTGTTGGTTTTTCTGGTGTTCCTCAGTGGCCCGACTCCTGGGCACATGAGCATCTATGTGGCGTACCTTCCCTACCAGGTTCTGCACCGGGTCAGCAATACCTTGCCACAGTGCAGCAGCCCAGATGGATTTACCTCTGCGTTGCCAGTTGCTCTGCTTCCATTGCTGCAACCACCCCCACAGGGCATTTGCCACCATCCAACAGTCAGTATAAAGTACTGGCCCCCCTTTCCTCATTCAGCTCTGTGGTTACAGGACAGAGCACAGAGTTAGACTGGGGAAACTGTAGTACAGCTCCAAGCACAAGTACTCAGCCAGAGGAACAGGCAGCAGTGGGTCTGTGGCCACAGGCGCCTGCTCTGCTGCACACACACTGCATCACACACACACGGGACCTGCTCTGAAACCCAGTGCAGCCCTCTGGAACCTTGCAACTTCCCATTTTGGTGCTCTCGGAAGAGTATCAGTTTCCTGGCACCTGACAGAGGTCCAGGAGGCCCAGCTGAACTCAGCCAACAGTCTGGGCACACTGAGATGCAGCTATGACCATGAAACCATGTCCAAACCATGAGATCTGTGCATAGATCAGAGGAGGGCAACATCACCCAACAGATGAACAGTGGGGCTTGTCTGGCTCCACCCCAGCTTCCAGACACACCTCTGGCCATTTAAACCTCACCAGCCTTCTGTTTTCCCCTTTGCAAAGCAAGTGGAGCATTTCCCTGTGCAGCTCAGGACAGAGGAGGCCTGGTGAAGCCTGACAATGCCATGCGTTGTTCACCAGCTTTGGGAGGAAGGGAACTGTTAGTAAGCCAGAGGGAGGAGGAGGAGTTGGCCAGCGTGTGGGGAGCATTTGCAACACTCAAGAGGGTGATGCGCACTGGTGCTTGCAGAGGCAACTTGGGGTCCTTTCACATCCTCGTGATGCCTCAGTTCTGCATTACTTGTGTTTGCAACAAAGATTCAAGAGGTTTCTTTAAGCATTATTTCAAGGAAGAGAATTAACGGACAGTTCAACGCGACACAGTCCCCTGGAGCTCACAAAGATGCTATGGGAGCCAGTAATTTGCTCTCCAATGCTCTCCTGGCTCCCTGGGCTCCCACAGGCCTGGCATGCCCTGTGAAGCTGCTGCAGTACATATTGCTCAGAGGTCGCTTTCAGCTTTGTCATTACATGGACACCAGGGCCAGTATGTGGGGTTAATGCACTTGTTACAGGTGCAATTTCATCATTTATAGGTGTTCCCTCTTAGCACTAGAAAACATGTCAGAAAATGCTGTGTTCCTGCTTCAGAGCGTGTCTGCTCAAGGCCAAGAGAGCAGTATTTTATACCATAAGATGTTACCAACTTGATTACAGTTTTGGATTTCTCTACTGCAGAAAGAGGCAACAAAGCACAAACCCGCACGTGGGTTTAAAATTACAGTAGGACAAACTCATTTTATAGAATCACAGATTGGTTTGGGTTGGAAGGGACCTTAAAGCTCACCCAGTTCCAACCCCCTGTCACGGGCAGGGACACCTTCCACTAGACCAGGTTGCTCCAAGCCCCTGTGTCCAACCTGGCCTTGAGCACTGGCAGGGATGGGGCAGCAACGGCTTCTCTGGGCAACCTGTGCCAGTGCCTCAGCATCCTCATAGGGAAGAACTCTTTCCCAATATCTAATCTCAATCTCCCCTTTGTCAGGTTAAAGTCATTCCCCCTTGCCCTATCACATGTGCTTGTAAAAAGTCCCCCTCCAGATTTCCTGTAGGACTGGAAGGCTGCTCTAAGATCTTCCTGGAGCATTCTCTTCTCCAGGCTGATTTCAGCCCATTGTTCGGACAGGCTGCATTTAGCAGTAGTGTTTTGACATGTGTTGTTGAAGACCTAAGGTGCTAACACCAGAATAACCTCAAAGTTGCTTCTGGCCTTAAAAGTCTTCTGGTCTGCTCTGCTCCCATAAGGCATTTAACTGCTCAGCAACAGGTGACCTTTATTCCCTGATCCACAGAGGATGTGGATGCTGAAGTACCACCTGCTGATAACACTGTTATGCATTTTGCTTTCTAGCCCAGGAACAAGAGCTCCTTTCTTTACTATTCAGCTGAAGGGGTAACCAGCATGCCCATCAGCTGATGAAAACACAAAGGTTCAGGCACTGCCCACCTCCTGCCCCGAAATTCACCCTTACTTATGTCCACCCTCTCTCAAGGCTGTTCTTAACTTTCAATTACTTACTCATTTCTCCTTCCTTTCACCCTAATGCAACTCTCTCCTAAATCCCACCCTCTAGGAACACACCAAAATGAAAACACTGTATTATCTATGTCCTACATGAGAAGAACAAGTGAGAATTTTGCTCCAAAACCCTTCAGACAAATGAAAACAGGACATTGCAAACATGACCAACCATAGCAAAGCCAAGGAAAGGATGATATCCAGTCCTCCTGGCAGGTCAATTCTCCATAGCCAGAAATAACAGTGAAAGCAATCAAGTCTTAGCTTTCAGTGAAGAAATAAAAGGGCATGGCCAACAGTCTGAGTGTGAGAGGGAAAAGGAGGAGCCTGTGAAAGAGAAAAGAAGACACAGCACATGTAAAATGAAGTGTACCACCACTGCATGGGTTATCACGCATCTACAAGAGCACCATATCCTTAATGGCGTTGTGTCAGCACATGGTCCATGAGGTGATGTCTCGAGCAGCTGTGCTCAAGCACAGCAGGGATGTGGAGAGAAACACAGCAAAGCTGTACGCTTTATTATGTACAGTTATTGTGTGACTCTGCGTCAGCAATGTATTTACTGCCTCTGTATACATAC